ATTTAACTTTTCCAATTTCGAAAAGTGTAGTGCTAACTTGACACACGTCGTTTTTCTGCTCCCTGGAAAGGCATTGAGGTTCTTCACACTTGCCTGATTATCAGGTTACTTATGTGGTTTTTTATTCAGTTTACAACAGTAAAATTTTACAATAATAATTTTTAACCAGATAACCTGATAAGTTTGAACAGCCTCACAGCTTTTTCATCGCCCTTGACGTGGCAATTATCCCTGACTGCTGGGCATTAAGCAATGAAAAGTATTACCTAGTAAAAATATAATGACAATTTATTTAAAACGGTTGTTTTCAGTAGCACAAATAAAAAAGAATTAAGTAAATTTAATATTCTTTAAGGAGCTAAGAAGCAAATTAATTTCTTTAGCTCTTTGCTCCACCTCCGCTCCAGCCAAAAAACTTTGCTCGTTAGCTCCTTGCTGATATGCTTCGCTCCGCTCCGAAGCTCTGCTCCCGGTGTTATTGATGAACACATAATCATTAAACACCATCTTAGCGAAAAAAATTTCTATATTGCATCCATTGTGCATCGAAAACACTCTCGATATGGTACAATTTCCACGCAGCCATTTTAAAGTTTGTGCAGAATGGTATTAAAAAATGGTGGGAAAGGGCGTTTTCCTGCCCTTACTTCCAATAACTTATAGTATGAATATTTAAAAACGTAAAATATACCTATAAAATATGTAAATATTCAAAATATGCTTGTCATAGGAAACATCAAATCATTAGGGGTATTTGCTATGGTTTACGGTTTGCGAAGTTTTCTCAGGGCTTCTGCATACCCTTATGATTATGGTAACTTAAGGTAACTTACAGGCTCCCACTTGNAATATGCTTGTCATAGGAAACATCAAATCATTAGGGGTATTTGCTATGGTTTACGGTTTGCGAAGTTTTCTCAGGGCTTCTGCATACCCTTATGATTATGGTAACTTAAGGTAACTTACAGGCTCCCACTTGAAAATTCTCTTAAATGGATGTTGCTTATAATTGAACAGCCGAAACTTAACGTAACTTAATGCCACGTCAAAATCTACTTTCATTTTGATTTTCTTAGTTCTACGTTTCGCTAATTTATGTTGCCATAATCAGGCTTTTAGACACTACCCACATTTTTATGAAATATGCAAAAAGCAGTTTAGTCGAAAGACGAATAGCGTCAATGGATTTTATTTCACTTTTGAAAAAATAATAACGTCAATTGACCTTATTGCCCTTTACTATGTGAAATAGTGTCAATTGACGTTATTTCCGCCGACCTTGTTACGAGTATTACTGCTATAGAATTTTCTTTTAAGCATTAAGATTTAACGTACATCTGTCTAATTTTAGGTTATACTGCACTAAAGACAACGAATGCGGTTTAAACTGCACCGTAAAGGATATTGATACTAACAGCTGTGAATTAAGGAACTTACACTTGAAATCTTGCACACAATATATAAAAAGAGATTTCAGTTTATAAAAATTTTGAAAACATATAAATTGACATAAAAACCATAATCGGACCTTCGCTTTGTTACTAAGGTAAGTTTTTTTTATCAACAAATTCCTAAAACGTCGATTACACTTTAGTCGATTGTTCGTTACTAGATCGACCCAAAATCCGGGCTTGTTCGAGTTTCAATCACAACCTCAGTGTTGCGCGAATTATTAAAGTATCAAGTTCGGCTTAGATTTTTGCCAACGTTTTATCAATTGGGAAGTTGCAACAGTCATGCAAATTTTCATTAGCGCTGCAGTATTGCCGCTTTTATTACGTGCCCCGTGATAATGCGTCCAGACTTATTGAGAACAATAACATAATCATAGAATATGATCAATGAATATTTAAAATATGTATATATAATATGCCCTTTCTATCTTAGGCGGTTATGTAGCTGCATCAAAAGGACATCATCCTAAACCCCTTAAAGTGGGACGCCACACAATCTGTGTTATTAATACACGGCATGCAAACAACGGCTTCTTACGGACCGTCAGTACAGCCTAACATTTTAAAAGCGATGCAGCCACAACCCGCACAAAACATGGTAGGTTTAAAGTACTCTTAGCGCTGAATAATTTCTAAATAGCAATGGTCTGATTTTTAATTTAGATTTTTATTATAATGCAGGGACGGAAAATAATCATTATTTTATTAAACTTTAACCAAAAAAATCAACAAGTTGTAATCATCGTAAAACAATTATATTTATACCCACGTATTTGTTTTGTTGTTGTTGTTGTTGTAGCGGCTGCAACAACCCCGCCCAGGACGGTTGGTATCTCAGTCGTTGTCGTCAAGTTCCACTAACGGCAACCCTAGGAAGCGTGCAGCTTCTGTGGGGTTTGTCCACAGGGACAAGGCCGTTGGGGTTGTCGGGTNAGCATTTGCGCCTCGCCGTGAAGATGGTGGTCGGGCGACATCAGGAGGCATCCTGTCGCTGTCCTGAGTGCGGTGTTCTGTGCAGTCTGTAGCTTCGTCCACTGCGTCCTACTAGTCCCCGGTGACCACACTGGCGCTGCGTAGTTCAAAACCGGCCGGCCTATTGTACTGTTTCGACTCTGTCGTCGTGCTTCGTCGGATTAGACAATGACCTCACGG